CTGCTGGGCTCCAGCGATCCTTCCGCCTCAGCCTTCCGAGTAGCCAGAACTACAGGCGCGTGCTACCACACCCGGTTGATATTTTGATTTATTGTAGAGATGTGGTCTCGCTGCCCAGGTGGGTCTCGAATCCGCGGACTCAGGCAATCCACTCACCTCAGCCTCCCAAAGGCACAGGATTACAGGCTGAGCCAGCCACCAGGCCCAGCAGAAAAGACTTCTTAAATAAGATCCCAAAATGAAAAATCAAGCCACAAAATACCAAAACTTTTGGATAAATAGAACTACAATAAAATTTAGCATTTCTGTTCAAAAAAGGATACAATAGACACAGTTTACAGACTGATAAAGATTTTTTTTCATCTTGCACATTAACAATTAAACAGGAAAACAATTTTTTAAAATAGCCAAAGGAGATAGCCGTTTACAGAAGCAAAGCCCAGTGGCCAAGCAGAACATGAAGAGATGCTCAAACTCACTTGAAATCAGACAAATGTAAGTTAAAACAAGACAGCATTTTGCACCCATCCTAAGCGGCTAATGTTCAAGGGAGAAGCATACCACACACTGGCAAGGCGCGTGAGAACGAAGCCGGCACAGCCATTGGCAAGAAGCCCAGTGGTTAAGGAAAAAACACAGGTGTGTGTGTGCCCTACAGGTGCTTCCCTGCCGGAGTAAGGCCCCCGGCTCCACTGCAGCCCACACAGCTGAGTGGTCCAGCTGCCCACGCCTCTGCCACTTTCTCTCCTTCAGCCTCCTGCTTCCTCCTCCCTCTCCTCTGGCGTCTCTGGCCTCCGTGCACCCTTCCAGACACCCCAGACAGCCTCCTGCCTCAAAGCCTTTGCACATGCAAATCTCTCTTCTGGGGACACGCTGCCCTCAGCCATCCATGGGGCTTTGCTCACAGAGGCCTGTCTTGGCCACTTGGCTTGAAGCTGCCCCTTGCGCCTCCCCCCTGCCACGTCCGTGCTCCCATAACCTGCTCTACTTTTAATTGCCTAGTAGTGTTTGTCACCTTCTACCAAAATATATCATTGGCCTGCTTAGGATTTTATTGTCCCCATCTGTCTTTTCTCACTAAAATATGCATTTTATGAGGGCAGAGACCTTCGTTTGGTTTTCTTAGTATTATATCCCAAAGACCTAGGATAGTGCCTGGCACATAGTAGTCACTCAGTGAATATGTTGTGATCATTGAATGAATAATGGTTGCATTATGTTAATTCCTAAGTAAGCAGTTTTTGGCTGACAAACACAAGTCCATGTATGTGATAAGCCCAGGGTACCTAGGGGCTTTCATCTTGGAGACGTATAATGCATTTACAGCAAACAGAAAAATTGGTCCCATTTTTTAAAACAAACCACGCTTTTGTCTCCTTGTTGAACCAATCCATTGTGCATCCACTTTTTAAAAAGTGAACGATTTCTTTGTGTTGGAATCTGTGTAGCAAGCCACAACTTCGTAATGGTCCC